GTAAAATATTGTAGCAGTGAAATGACAAACACACTCAGCAAAGTTAACTCTTCAACACATTTAGCCATCTGCACCACCCTGGTTGTCAAGTCCAGAAACTCCACATTCACAATGTGGCTGCCCCCTCATTAGATCAGTAACCGGCTTTGATTGATTGATTGATTAATCACCTCACGACCAGCTCCCGATCATCAGTCGTTTGGTTGTAAGAAAATCCAACCTGTTTGAAATCCTGTCGGCCGTCGTGAGGGCGTCACCGCAGCCTCTCACACTGCGCACGCACAAACACAGAGATGGAAGTGAAAAGACGGAGCAGCGGTGCAGCCTGTGATCTGGACACAAGCGATGGAGGCACAACTTGTAGAACTTTGGTTCCTCTGAGCCTTTTCGATGTGGCCTCACAAAATTATCACGACCACAACAACCGTGAAAATAGTTGGATCTACATCGCTGCTCAATCACAGCTGATCAATGCTTTTTATTAGCAATTTAGCAAAGTTGATGGTCTTTGTGTGTCTGTGTGAGTGAAAGACAGAGAGCGAGAGATTTTCTGTTATAAGCTTCATGTTACGGACGCACAGTGTGAGCACTCAGGTCACATCAGAGCATCGGGCCGTATAGTGTGAGACCTGCATCGTGACCTACCAACTTCTAACCCCTGCGAGTCAATCCAGGGGTTAGAAGCATCAGCACGGCGTTTGCCCAGCTTTACATGCCCTCCAGAGAGCCTGTTCTTCAACAGCTTCACTGGCTGCCCGTAGATTATAGAGTCACTTGCTAAATATTGCTTCAACCTGGTCCCTCCCTACCTGTGCTCCTCCTTTCTTAGGTCTTTGTTCATCGCTCACCTTGTTGTTCCCTCTGGCCGTCTCACCACAGAGCAGAGCTCATCTGTTCCCCGGCTCTGGAATGAACTTCCTCTTGATATCAGGAATATCTTCCCTTATTCCAAACTGGCTTAATCTCTTCAAGCACTGACTCGAATTGTTTTCTATCCTTTTGCTATTTGTTTTTATGCTTTGTAACGTGACCTTTGCTTTTTTCAAAGGCACCCACAAATAAAATGTATTATGATTATTAACCAAATGGTTAAAATCCTGCTGATGTATACAGGCAGAAAGGTCTTCAGCTTTAAGCATTACAACCAAGAACAGTTTTCCGTTTTTCTTCTCGGTGTACCTTTATATATTCCGTTCGATCCCCCGTGGACATCGCCTCTGGCAGAGATTTCCTCCAGATGAGCCCCTTGATCTGAAGTCAAGTAAACAAGAGTTTTTCCTCTCAAGCTGAGTCTGTCCAGCATCTCCATGAGCTGACCTGAGAATACACACAGTGCAAACTCCAGTCTGTAATTATTTGGAAACATTTTTCCGTTTGAGTATGAATAACAGAACGAGAAAGAGAAACTGTAAAACAACGCATGTGTTAAAGCTGCCGGGCAGGAGGAAAAGAGGAAGACCTCAGAGGAGGTTCGTGTTTGTCGTCAATGATGTCAAGCAGGAGAGTGGGTGTGACAGAGGCAGAGGGACAGAGCGGGATGGATGCAGATGAACTGTGGTGACCCCTAAACGGAGCAGCTTAAAGAAGGAGGAAAAATACATCTTCTATATTAGATTGGTCAAAGTAGGCATCAGTGCTCGCTGGCTGCTCTGCTTTCTTTCTGTGCCTCTCTCCTCTATCTG